CAGTCTCGAAATAAATAGTAAAAAAAAAAAAAAAAAAATACCTAGGAAATGGTATTTTATTTATATATGTCAGAATTTTAATGTCAAAATTTTTACAGGTTTTAAATATTAAAAAAACCGTTCAATGTATTTGGGGTTAGTTTCATTTAACATAATAAAAAACATGCAGTAAACAATACCCTATTAGTTTATATAACAATGTTTTTTGCCCAGATATATAAAAAACGAAATAATATAATAAGAGATAATAGAATATAAAATAAGAGATGGAAAAATAATAATGAAGAAATAAAGAATTTAAATAGAGAAAAGTTTTTTATTAAAGATTTGCAATTTTGGAATAATTTATTGTACTATAAAATGTCAACATTTGGTTTTGCCCTAGTGATCGCACCGTTTTTGTGAGCTGTGTATCATTGACAAACCGGCAATATCTTTACATTAATTGTTCAGTGTGATATCAATAAAAATGAATAATTGAGTAGTAGATACAGTTTTAATTAAACAAAAAGACAATTATGAAAAATGCAACTTTTTAATGCATTAATTTCCTTTTTACAATTTTCATATAAGCAGAACTATTTATATATATTACAATAAATTGTTTTAGGCATAACACGCCATTAGATAACTAGTTTAATAACAAAAGATCAGGAAATAAAATTATAAAGTTCATAACTTTCTATCTAATTCATTTTTAAAACTTCAAAATATTCATATATGACACAGAAAATTACATAATAATGTAAAGTAAAATATTTAAAATAAAACAAACTAATATTTACAAAACTAAATTTTAAGTAAAATACCATTTGCATTTAGTAATGGGAAAAGTTTTTAATCATGTTATGTAGCAGTATTAAAGGGCAAACTAATACAACATGAAAATAAGTAAAATGTTTGTACTTTACTTAAAATTTAAGTTAATACTCACTAATATTTCATGAACGTTTTTACATTTTTAGAATTTCTAAATTTTATAATTATTTAGCTTCACAGCAATTTGAAATATATTTAAAGTTTTTGGATGGAAATTGGACACTTTTTCCTATAAAAAGAATATAAAAATAAATTTTATAATAATCAAGACAGCATTGGATAAAATAAAAAATTTTCCACAACTATCAAATATATAGGTACAGTGATTCTGCTAGACTTAAAACAGGTCTTTAGGACCAAGGCCTTCCAACTATCTGGGTCCTTTATTAAAAGCAGGTCCCTATTTAAAATATAAATCTCTAAGGATATACATAATAAAGATATACGTAAAAAGAAAATATTCAATGATTATGAAAAAAAATGTGATTAGTAATAGTAATTGATTCAGTAATAGTTCAACCAAGAATTACAATCGAGATTTCTAGATAAATTTTCTTTAAAAAAAATCAAAGTCAAATGATCTTTACAAAAGATAAAAGAAACAAGATTCTTCTTGATATACAATTCATAGAATTAAATCATATTTAAAATAGTACTTTGCTAAGGGCAGGATAAAACTATTACTGAAAATTGAATAATATGCAACTTGTATGCAAATTTTTTTTGTTGAAAAATGAGCGAATAAGTCAGATATAGCATAAATTTAGATCAACAAATAATAAATGATCATGCTTCCATAAAAAAATATAATTGAATAACAGATTACTATTAAAATATTCACGAACACTGTCAAATGAATTTTCAATTATAGATTATTTATTCTAAATAAAGCTCTTAAGTTTGCAAAGATAAATGTCATTTTTTTTGGTTCACATTTTGGATGCTTTACAATATTTTGCCTAGGATTTACTATTATAACTTTAGTGTGAAAAATTAGTTTTTATTTCGTTCTTAAAAAATAGTTTTTTTTCAGATAATTGATCTTTAAACAGAATATTTAGTAAAATACAAATACACATAATTTTTCTATCAGTGGGCCTGGAAGAAAAAGGTTTATTCTAGACAAAATACCAACTCTGTTTGAAATAAAAACTAAATACTTAATTGTAACAATTGGTCCATCTGATAAATTTTGAGTGAACTTATTAGATTTGAAGGAGAATTTACTTTTTTCTTCTACTGACTGAACTTAGTATTCTTCAGTGACCGAACTTTTAGCTATAATCATAATTGTTTAAAATTTGTCTTCACACTTTCTGTATCTTGCATTAGTATTTATCTTTCTCATCCCCCCCCCCAATGCAGAAACCTCTATTGATCAACAATAACATGAGGAAAAAGACAGTCCTAAAAACAAATTAAAAGTAAAACAAAGAAAAACTATTCATTTAGTACAAATTTCAACCAAAAACGAATATTACATAAGAATACAGGAAAATAGCTTTAAATTGATTGATTGAAAAATATGCCTCTAAAAAATTCCATAACAGTAAAAATAAAGAGACAAAAAATTAAATTTTTAAAAAATTAAAAAATTCTATGAGAAACTAAATAAATTAGAACGTCAAATTTTTCGCTTCTTTAAAAAAAAAAAAAAATGAAGTGCAGAGAAAGATGAGGAAAAGAAATCAAAATATAAAAAAGGAAACAAAAAAAAAATGATTGTGATAGTTATCAGAGGATAAATTTTTCACCCAACCTTACAAAATAAATGAACATTAAAAAATTACAAAACTTTCACATTTGCTCTATAATTATGCTATCAATTGAAAGACAAAACAATGAATTTCAAATCAAGAAAAAGAATTATTTTCAATAGTCAATAACTTAATTAGGACTGATCAAACATTACAATTAGGAAAAGTACATAATTTGATGTATAGTTTCGATTTCTTCTTTTGTCATTAAAAATATATCTATTTTTTTAAGTTTGGTTGAATTTGACAGCGCAATTACAATAATAATTTGGTTCAATAATTTGTCTTTAAGTTGGTATTTCTTAAAAATTTTAATGGTGTAGAATTTTGTCTCAAGTCTCTATGCAGAATCTCTATAAGTGATATGTTTGAGAATTGTGATCAAAGATTGATTTCAAATTTTTGTCATTAAACATTCATATTAAACTTGAACACAATATTTTTTTAAAACATCTTTACCAAGACATATTATAGTGACTGAATTTTTCAAAGAAATTTACAGACCTTAATATAAAATATTACAATACATTTTTCTTATATAAATCAGCAGCAAGAATAGGCACCAGGTGAGAAATAAATATTAAAATTAATTAGAAAAAAAGAGGTATTCAACTACTCTTTTCCTCGCCTATGAAGAGATTTTTTCTTTTTAAAAAAATTAAGTCTTAAAATTTTGAAAAAGTTTTTTTTAATAATCCTTTCCTTATTAGTAAGCTGCTGCCTTAAAAAAAATACATGCATTTAAAAAGAAAAAATATCAATTGATTTTTTTGTTAATTTTTAAAGTTATATTTGTATAAAATTTCTTAAACAATTGCTGCATAAAACATTTGTTCTAAAAATGTTTCATGCAATATGCAAAAACAGGAACTATTTTTAAGTAGTTGGTGATACAGTTGCCTACTTTTTAAAGGTTAACTTTGCTCGTAAAACAAGCATATATATTTATAAAAAAATAGAAGAAAAAAAAGGTTATGTTATTAAAGCTGAGATAAAATAGAAATTAAGAATCAGATTGGAAGATTACATGTAGAATTTAGAAAATTCCTTGTACTAAGTTGAAAAACTATTTTATTTTATTTATTAGCTTATAGACGACACTTCGAATTTTTTGTCTGTAGCAACTTATGATTGTACTTCAGTATTAGTCTGTGTATAGTCAGAGGTATGTTAACTTCTATCTTGATTTTAAAACTAATAAGATTTTTTTTTTTTTTTTAAAGTTATAGAGCTAAATGGAATTTAAAATTCCATACCTGAGTATCATCATGAATTAGCTCAATTAATTTCAAGAAAATCTAAAACATACGTTTCAAATTACAAACAATTTTATTCTTAATTTAAATATTCTTTCAAAGCTATAGGAATGATATTTAATAAGATAGATACAAGGTTTCTAAAATACTTAAAGAGGAATCTTTGAATGAATTTATTTTTCAGTCTAAAGAATATTAAAAATTAAATTGCAATAAGTTCTGAAAAACCAATAGTACGAGTCAAAAATTTAATAGACTTAAGTGTAGGCGTCTATATAGTTACTTTTTCTAAGAATAATCTACCTTATCTAAAATATTTCAAATTATGCCTTGATCACTAGTAAAAATTAGCAGCAAAAAGACTCACTTGATCTACATATTCAGGTTAAATTTTCTTTAAATGGCACGCTTCGGACAATCTAATTTTAACAAATCTTTTTAAAAAAATGTCAGAGTACATAGCAGTTATTGTATATAGCACAGAGTTTGCATAGACATTGCATAGCAGAATATTGTGAAATTCAATTTTAATTTTTGTAACAATTATAGGTTCAAATATTGCATAGCACTTCCAATACTTCCATAGCATTGAAAACATTTACTAAGATAATCAACACAATTTTAACAACATAAAAGTTTCTAGAAACGCACACTTCATAATACCTAAAAAGTTTTTATAATTTAAGCTTCATTCAACATGTACAAAAAAAGTAAAATAATTATAAGAAACTAAAACTAATGCTTATACAAGTCATTCCACATTAAAATATGAAAAAAAGTTTGTTGATTTTGTTTTAATTTTCTTAAAAACGAAAATAAATTTATGATAAAATAAAGTTATTTTAAAATAAATTCTTATGAAGTGTTGTATAATGTGATTCAAAACTCTAAAACAAATATTTTCAATTCGGATGGACATTTAGTTCGTTCCAGAATTGCAAACATTAAAGAATAAAAAATTCAAATTTAAGATAGATACAGATAGCAGAATAAAAATCTATTAATCACAAAATAGTTGAACACACTAGATATGTAGAAGTTAATTTTGTACATTTATAACAGCATAAAAATGCAAATATCTACATAAGAAAAATATTTAAGAACAGCACATGTTAAAACAAAAGTTAACCAATTATTGAGTATTTATATATCACAACTTTTTGTTAATCCACTTATATGAATAAATATTGCAATGGTTTTTAAAAATGTAGCTATAAAAATAAAACTATAATATATATTTATATACTATACACTTATGATAAGGATACACTTCATAGTACTGAAACAATTTCATGTTTTATAGCCAAGTTAGAAGATGATTGAAATAATACAGATGATTAACAGAGATAAAACTTAACAAAATCTAATAACATTTTTAACATACATTGAAAAAATCTTAATACATTAATTAAGAAGATTTAATTCATTTTTATACACGCGTAAAAAAGCTATATGTAAAGTTATCACAAGACTATCACACACATTACAGATAGAGCACAGAAATTAAAAAAGCATTTAATGACATGATTGTATTAATGACTGTAATAATATTAAATATAAATCTAAAGAGTGTAGAAATTTTCAATAAAAACAAATGACCAGCGCAGTCTAGTATTACAAATAAAATATGAGTATATTTGCTAATAGTGGATCTTATTTTTTATAAAAACAATAAGACTGCTTAATCAATAAAGATATCTTAAAACCTAAAGTTTTACAATGAAAAAAATTAGAGTATATCAGCAAAATAATGCATTAAAAAATATAGAAGAGCTTCATCAAACGAGAAAATTTAAAATCTAAAGCTTTGCAATAAAAAAATATTTGTTACATATAATGAAATCTTCGCAGATTTGAAAAACCGGTTCCATAATTCCTGAATCAACATATTAAGATTGAAGACTAGTAAACAGTTTTCTAACATCAAAAAAGCAACCGAGCTTTGAAAACCAACATCAACAAAATGATTTTTTTTTTCAAAAAAAGAAAAAGGATGAAATTTTTTTTCAGAAGACAACTATACTTTGTGATTCTGTGTTCATTGATGTTCAGTACTAGATTATATATAATTCAGTTCACTAATAAACAACAACCAAATGACTCACGATTTTGAAAAGTTCAATTCACACTTGCATTAAAAACTCCTAACAAGAACTGAATTAGTATGCAAGAAATAAGCATTTAGTTGAATATAAGGCTTTCGAAAAGGTAAATCTAAATAAATAGCGCAATTTTCTAGAAAAGAGGTTAACAGAAATTAAAATGATTCGCTAATAAAGAAGTCTTCTTCGCTCGACTCGGATTCATGATCAGTATCATCAGACATAGCATAAACAAGTTCATCTAGATCCAAATGCATCAAAACACTTTGATCTCTTACTTCCAAGTAATCCCATAAGATTATTCTACCCATGAAATCTAATTCACCATCTTGATTTTGTCGGCGTCTTCTTGTTGGTAATGGTAAATCTACTTTTGTGCCATCAGGTTTGGCATGGAGATAGAAACATGCACCACCAAATGGACATGTTCCTTTACCTTGCTTGAAATATTTACAAGGTTTTTTGCTTAGTGCTACTTTATAGTCGGCAATTAATTTTTTCTTTTCGTCTTCTGTGTCAACCCAATACTGGCTAGGTGTGATAAAATCAGAAGACACTCTACATTCTGGACATGCACGGGTAACACCGGGATCTACTAAATGATCAACATGCTGTGCACTTTCAAAAGTCTTGACTCTTCTCCACTTTCTGATACAGGATAAACAAAACACATGATTGCATTTTTCAAGAATTCCAAAACGACGTTCTGCAACTGGATCTTTTTCCATTATAACATCCATACATATGCCACAGGTTTTATCCACACTACGTTGAATAGCAAATGATAATTCCATATCTTGTTCAAGTTCTTTTTCACAATATTCAATATGAAGCTTTCGTTGTCTCTCATCATATGGATTCAAGCAATATTTTCTACAAAGTTCACACAAATTTCCATGAATGCATGGACATTCATCATTATAAGGGCACTTACCCTCAAAGAAATGCATGCACAACTCCATATCCAATTTTTGAGGCTTTGATCTAATAACACAAACATTTGATTTCAAAGTATCGGCATAAGATTTGTTAGTCTTAGGCACAAATTCAGGTGCGTTTACCCAGTTTGGTGAATCTGGACTGCAAGGAGATGTTTTATCTTTTCTCATGGAGCTAAAACTTCGTAAATTACACTTAGCTGGAAAAGTATCGACTTTGTTTACATCGTGTTTGGGCGTTGATGGGCTATGATTTTCTGAACGTTGACGTGAAGGCCCAGCAGCCAGCTTATCATTACGCGATTTAGGTTTAGAATTAATATCCCCTTTAACAGTTGAATGCAAAAACCAGCAATTATCACCATACTTACAAATGCCCTTCAAAAAGAAACGACAGGCAACGTTTTTAAGATTACTACATGTGGCAGTATCATCGTGAGTATATTTGCATCTAGCACCATCTTGGCAAGAAGAATATAAATAAAATGGGCACACTATTCTACCTGTATTTACTGTTGTGCCTTCGGCCATTTCATAAAAATATTAAATCAATTTTATTGCTGCTACTTTTCATAACAAATAATATGCACAACGAGGAAATATATACACATACTACGTGATAATTCTGTTGTCTGATGAAACCACATCACGACCGAAAGAAGGCAATATTCCTCCGCAAGATCATATGATTGGCTGCTAATAACCTTCCGGGTAAAAAAACATCCTCTCTCAAAATTTTAATTGGAATATTTTGCGCAATTTCAGTGACCGTTTCCAATTGTTACATTACACGGAATTAAGTATAGAAGCTTCAAGAAGTTTTTCAAATATCAAATACATTTTAAAATATTAAAAGTGTAGAACTATATTTTTAATAAATAGTTTCGTTTCGTATTTTTGAAGTCGGGGAAAAATTATTTCCCTGTGTTTGCATTTTAAAATGTAGCAATCCTGATTTTTAAAAATCTTTTCCAGTATTTCTGTGATATAGTGCATATTGAAAAACAAAAATTTGTAGAAATAAACTTATTTTAATAAAAAAAATAATTAATTTCCTTCTTAGGAAACAAATTTTTCATTGATTCTACGAATAAGTCGAAAATCACATCTGGTAGTGTCATCTAGCGGTTTTATTTGAAAACAAATAGCTTAATTGTTTTCTTACTGTTTTTCTCGTTTCGATATAAATTTATATATTAAATATATAAAAGTTTCCATTTTCCTTTAAAAATATTTAATAAAAAAATAAATAAATAAAAGCAAGAAAGGAATGGGGAAAATAAAAACATTTCTTGAACTCTTAAAGGGAAAAAAATAATTCCTGCAATTAATACTGATTTGATTTTAATCTGGATGCAATAATTTAAAATTGTTTACTGGTTAACGAAAAAATATTATTCCAATATAAACAACAATATTAATCGTAATAACTATATTAAAATTCTTCTTACGCTATCATAGCTTCGTTTATACAGTAATTCAGGGGTAAAAAGTTAAAGAGTAATTCAATAATCAGAATTATTTTTTTCTTTTCAGTAACTCTACAATTTTTTTTTTTTTTTTTGTTAAAATAAAAGGCTGCATAGTCGGTCAAAAAAATCACGAAAAATATTTAAGCTTTCTAATTTTTTTTTTAACATGTTTCTCAAAATACACGAAAAGTAAGATTGAATTAGTTCAAAATTATTTGTTTTAAATTTTTTTTTTTCCTTTCAACTGCAGCATTTTTATGCATATAAATTTTTAAATCAATGCAAAAATTTTTAAAAAAAATGTAAGAAATAATCTTTTTTTTAGAAGAAAACTAATAAATAAAAAGCTAGTGTTCTGCAAAAATTACTTATTTTTACGACTTTATTTTTATTTCCAGAGGCAGACAGGATGAAAGGCAAGAATTATTCTCCCCATTCTTGCATCTACTCAAAAGTGCAGAACTCACCGTCAAAGGGGTAGGAAGAAGGGTGGGATATTAAATTTTTATTTTTATTTTTTAAATTCGATTTCCAGCAGTTTAAACAGCAATAATAATAATAAACAATAAAATAGTAAATTTCCTACCTTAATACAGACAATCTAAAATTATTCACCTTGTAATTTTCTTTCATTAATTGTTTGACAAAAAATGCGAAAAAGTTCCAAAAAAAGCAAACCCTATTTTTTTTAGTCCAATAAAATGAGGCCTTTTTTAAATTTTTTTTTTTTTTAAATATTGTATTGTGAAGTGATACTATAATTTCAATAAATATCTAAAAACATTTTGTAGTCTTTTGTTTATAATTTAAATAGGGCATCATTATTTTGTCCCGAAAACAAGAGAACTTCAGGATAAAGCAGTGGTACAAAATAGCCTTTGTGGAGAACTTTATGATAGTACTAACCTGCATTTGCGTTACATGGATAGGAAAATCACGAAAACCTCCCACGGATATTCTGACTTCAACGGGATTCTAACCCATGATCTGTTTACCACTGAGGATATTTTATGTCAGCACTGTGGTTAGTGGGGTTGGCCGGGAGCAGAATTCATTTAAATCAGTCACCTCTGGAATTCGAACCTGGGTACCTCATTGGGAGGCGAGGGCTCTATCTTCTCTGCCACCGTGGCTCAATAAGCTTATTTGAGGTCACCTCTGTGAACCATCAAGATACATGAAAATCCGATCTATAGATCAAAAGGGTATCCGTTTTCTTCGCCCGTATTGTACATGTCATGTATAGCTGCTACATAAAAAAAAAAAAAAAAAAAAACGTTTCTAGTACAAAAAATTTAACATTTCGTTCGCAAAAGCTTCCTTTTTTTAAAAAAGAAAAAAAAGTGGTAGCGCAAATGATTTATTTTTGGGATTAATTTTGCCGTAACAAGATATTTTTGTCAATATACTATACTATAGTATATTGACAAAAATATCAATATACTATAGTATAGCATATTGATATTCTATATACGTCAATATACTATAGTATAGTAGTATAGTAATATTGACGATACATTTCTAGTTGGATCTAGAGTCAAAGCAATAATGCTTTATTTAACATAAGGTGGTAGCTGGTAGAAAGAAATATCCACTTGCATAAGCAAATATATATTACCACTTTTTCATATATTGACCATTTTTTGTGATCCACCATTAATGGGCTAATTTTCAGACACATAACTAATAGATATATATTAGATATATAATTCGACCCTTTTAAATAAATAATTTTTTAACCATGATGTGAACCATGGGTGGAGCCAAATTTAGCCCGATAAGGAGTTAAATTTAGAATAACAAGAGGTTCGAAGATTTAAATTCAAACTATTTAAAGAAAAACGAATTTTAACTCTCATATTTTTATCACATCATTTCGTTTCATTAGAGATTCGCTCTTGAAAATTTAAAATCAATAATTTTGATATCAAAAACGTGCAGATTTAACTTAAAGCAAATAAAATAAATAAAAAATTGCATTTATTTGATATCAATGAATTTCGTGATACTCACATTGTGATTATGTCTAACATATTGCAAGCTAAAAATTATGTCTCTAAGCTTTTTTTTTATTTTTTAAAAGAAAAAAAAAACGTAGTTTTAGAACGTTAGTTTACCATCAATTCAAAAATATAATTGACATTAAATAATGATATTACAAAGAAACTTACAAGATAATAGTACTAACAGACGATTTTTTTTAAAATGAAATTTGAATTTTCGAAATTTTTGAGAGAAATCAATGTTAGTAAGAAACCAAGGTTTGCAAATGATAAAGGTTTGTAGGGCTTTTTTGTAAGTTCAAAAAGAATTAACACATTTTAAAAATTGTAATAACAATTTCGATTATTTACACTGACGTAATTTTTGTTAAAAAAAAAAAAAAAGGGGTACGCAATAGTTATATAAAGCATAATGTAAGGATTGAGGAATTTCAAAATGTCGATACTTAAATAAAGCAATACAGAGAATGAAATAAAAATGAATAAACAAAATAAAAAAAGATAAACAAAGTAGAAAATTGAATTGTAAACGATTGCGCTAAATGTGTGCTTTAAACTAATTTAGAAGATAATTGTACCTTCCAGTACGTTTAATCATGAATGAGCAGTAATTATATAAATAAAAAAAAAAAGAATTTAGTTTACAGACAAACAATATTTCATTATTGCTAAGGAGTACATATAATTCAAAAATCTTTCATTTGAATTATCCAAATGCCCTGTAAGTTTAAAAAAAAGAAGGAAAAAAAAGGACTATGTATAATGAATTTTTAGTTCTAAGTTTCTAAATTATTTAGAAGTTTAATTTCCAAAAAGATAATTACATCTTAGTTTAAATGGCCCACTCTCGGCAACTAGCCCAAACCTAATAAATTCAGTTTCATATTTAAGTACGGTCGATTTATAAGTTATAATTAAAACGATATAATGTGAAGTTAAGAGTTCAGTTCATGATTAACATTATAAATTGTAACTTTACTAGTACATCCTTCTCTTGCTGTCTACCTATTTTTAACCCTTTCGAACCTTATGGGACATACATATCCCATTAGACGTTCCAAGTAGACTGCTGGGCTACCATTTTAACACAGGGACCTATCAAGACAAATTCAGGCCCGAAGTCCACAAAATTTCCCGGGCCCCTAACAAAATATTTTGAATTTAAATTTCTGAATAGTAGTCCTAACAGTAAAAAGAATCTATTGAACTGCATGATTCAAGAAAAACATTCTAAAAAATTTTGAAAGCAGACAATTGAAGATTATTTTTTTAAGATTAAGTTTACGCATCTAAATATTAAAGCATATTATAAAATGTGTGAAAAAAAAAATAGTTTGGTGACCACAAACATGTGAAATCAGTGATTTTTGCTTAAAGTCACCGATTAGCTGAATTATTTTAAAGATTGTAGCCCTCAATCTACAGCTTTACATATTTGTTAAGAATAAGCTTTTAGTTCTTGTTGACAATAATCATTTATAAGAGACTTTGTGAATATGCACTCTCGTTGCATTTGTTTAAGCCGTTGGAGTAAAAATTGCACCAGTTAAAATTAAGCTGTACTTTCGAATTTGATAAGTGCAATGTTTACACGAGTTTGGTTTATCACAATATAAAGAAAATTTGAAATAAAAAAAATGCCTTTTTTGAGAAAAACTGTTTCTTTCTGTATTTTAAAAAAAAGTAATATTGTGGACTTTTTAACTAATTTTTGAGGCCCTCCAGAAAGTGTGGGCCCTAGGCCAGTGCCTATTGGGCCTAGGCGATAATCAGGTCCTTTTTTAACAGTAGATTTGCACATTACAGTGTTTTGAACTTCTCTTCTTTTATTAAAGTGGTGAGCATGACAGCATTTGTAAAACTGTCATGGTTGCATAGTTTCGAAGAAATCACATGTTTGTGAAGAGTTATGCATCTTTTTGTGAGAAAAATAAATGAAATAGAGCTAAGAAAAAGTGAGCGTCATAATAAAAGCATTATTTATATCCTTTTACGTTGCTTCGAATCATAATTTGCATGATTCTGAAAGTTTATCATACGGAAACAATAAAAACAACCTTATTTTTACGACTTGGGAAGTATATGTACTAGTAGTCTTTTTTCACGGGTTATTAATCACTCAAAAAGACTAATGGGATATCCATGTCCCAGCCAGTGAATATACAAGTGATATAATATACTCACTTATATATTCTTTGTCCCAGCGCCTAACTGCAAGAAGTGAATCTAGGTTTTAAAAAGACCTAAAGGTAATAGTATCAATGGTAACTGCTTCTCGCAACATTCTCAACTACGTTTAGATAATAGAAACTCTAGGTAATAGCTATAGCTGCTATTTCCGATTTTACTCACCTAGTTGTTTTATTTATAATTTTACTTTTCTTTCAA